TCCTAGAATTCCTGTTAGTACCCAACAAGTTCATAAAACTGGGAGATGTGCTCATGGAGCACTTGGATAGGAGCTCACTGCAAACTACAGGAAGACACAGATGGGATTTGGGGCTTCAAACTGGAGAAAAATGAGCACAAGGGGCCCACCATGAGTAAACACATAACATAGGACTCCAAAGAAAACAGAAAGAGGTTTGTGTCATTTCTGCCATCACTGTGTAGTAGCTGAGGAGCCCCTGATAGCTGGACATACACTTTGAGTTTGAGGGAGCCTTTTCCCCCTACCTGTACTCTGAGGGAAGATGGGAACCATGCCTTCAGCAGCACATCTCACTTTCCTACTGAGGGACTTTCAGGGCTGGCTTGTTTGTGCATGTGTGGCATGGATGGATGATCAAAGTGAGAGGAGGGGAGGGAGGAGCATGCCCTTCCCAGGAGTCCACTATCCTATTAATGAATAGACTCCTCCTCTCTCAGCAGGGACCAAGCCTTCTACTTCCCAGCTCGCCCAGGAACGCACCCTGCCCAGATTTCATCCTAAAGAAATGAGCATTCTTCACTGAAGTTCATAAGGAACTGTGACCAGATGACTTACACCTTGTTACAGGGCAAGAGGCAGGATGCCCTGAGCACCATCCTTGGCATTTAATGAATTTTTTTTTCTGTTCAAAACTTGGTTTATCATCAATTCAGCAATTAATTCTCAAGAGTTTATATTTTCAGTGGGGGCAGAGTATGCAAATAATGTGGTGTACTAACAACACATCTTTTCTTTAATGAAAAATACAGTTACTAAAGAGAACATCTTGAAAGTCGAGTCTCCTGGAAGCTTATTCTGTTTGACACTAGAAAAATACAAAAGTCCCAGTTAAAATAAAATGACAGTTGTTTATATAAGCAGATCCTAGTTACTTTAATTATTGTTTTTGGCAGGATCCTAGAAGTTTAATCTTTCTTAAATCCCACTGTAATGTCTGCTGGCTAAAGGATTTAGTTACCATGAAAAAATATTCAGCCACTACCTAACCTAAATACAGCTATACACTAGGGCAATATTACCCAAGATAGTTTCACTTGGGTGAAATGGGAAGATTGTTCTTGTATACTAATTCAGTTAGAAGACTGAGGAACATGAGATACATCTAAATCTAATTTCTTTAGCATAGTAATTTTAAAAGACTTTGGGTCTTTGAAGTTAAAAGATCTTATTTATATTTCCTGATGTTGGTCAATCATTTCAAAACAATTTGCTCAGTCACCGTTTCTTTTGTGAAGCCAGTTTTATAAGAACAAAAAAGAATGTATTCATCATATTGATACAGGAGTGAAAATGGTCTGTCGGGTAGGAAGGAAACATCCCAGTGTGCATCAAAGAAGATTTCATTACAACTGCAGTTCCACACCTTCAGTGCATTCTTGAAAACATCACACAAAGCATTAGAAAGCTGCAGTGGGCTGTGATTTCTGGGGCTGCTGCCCTGTGGGTGCAGTTTCATGATGGAGAGGGTAAAGTCATTCTTTGACTAGTGCTATTCAAGCCAACTCCAACACCCATAGTCAAAACCAGCACCAGTGGTTAAAAGCAAACTCCTGCTCACTTCAGTGAGATTTCTTCAGAGTTTTGACCTATTACTTTGAGGATTTATTTTTACTACAGAGGTAGCTGAAATAAGTTTTCTGTCCAAGGGATGGCTTAAAGCTGTCGTTTGATGGTACTTTTTCTTGCAGCCCTTCAGCATTATCAGGCCTTAACAATCTTTCCTATTCTCCTGGCCTTGTGATTCAATACAGACCCATTAATTTAAGAAAACTGGTGCCATGACACTTGTGTTAGCTGGTGATAAAATTCTCTTTTGTTTTTTTTATAGCAACTCAAGGTGGAATAAATCTCTAATTCTAGTTCTCATAACCCAAATAAAATATTTCTTTGAGACTTTAAAGTAATAAAGATTACACATGTAATTTCACTTCTATATTTTATTTCTATTAGAACAATATTTGTGTTTTGCAAAGATGATTGAATTATAAAGGTCTCAGTTAAAGAAAAGGATCAGCCAGATCCAGTGGTCACACTATCAGAGTATCAAACCATTCAACAGTGACTGCACATGGCCAAGCCACATTCACAGGGCAATTTTGTTAGCAGCCAAAGCAGCTGGTCTGGATGCAGCTATGTTACTCTGAGATCATGTATCACCAACAAACAAGCATTTGATTAGTTTAACATAAAGAAGGGGTGACATCAAGAGAAAACAAATAACTACAACATGTGACCCTCTGTGAACAGCAGTTTAATCACAAAATGACTTAACCCACTGCCTTGCTATTATATGGCTGATAATCTTTATTCTTGGAAGAGTTCTTTTGCAGATAAGGTATAATATTCATGCACTCAGCACTAGTGATAGCTGAAGATTCTTTGATAACACTGTCTTTTAATAAAAAAGGCAGAAAAATAGAGAAAAACATTATTTGAAACCAAAACAGGGTCTATCTATAGCTGTCTTCTAGAATGAGTAGGTGTAGTACACAGACAAAAGTATACATTGTTAAGTATACAACATAAGGTACATTTTACAAAAGCAGTGATTTCAGATGCATCCAGGAAAATATAACTCTTGGATCAAAACATTAGGTGGTTTGTAGCTACTGATTGGGATTTCTTTGTATTTTTCTATAATTTAGTATTGAGTAAAGCAGTCCATAAATATCTCCTTGTTCCTTCAGTCATGTGTTTCCTTCAGTCACTTTAGTGAGCTCTGGCATAAGACAGTAAAAAGTACAAAGAAAATATGTTACACTCATAGTTCTATAACAAGAGTCCATATTCTCCAATGATATTAAAGATAGTGCTGACAGTCTTTTTGGTAACATAAGACAAAAGGACAAAATGTATGGAGGTAAAATGAATTAATAAAACAGACTAAGCTATTTATTTCACATTAAAAATTAAATCTAACTCATTAAAAAATGCCTTTTGGGCTATTGGATATAGATGTCCTGACAGCTGTGGATGTAGTCACAGCAGTATTAGAAAAATAGACTTTTTTTTTTTTTTTTCCAAAGTTCAAGACCTGAGCACTGCCTAAAAAAGAAGACATGCCTTCAAGCATTGAACTTTTGATATTTTTCTGACTTTAATGCATACCAACACTTGGAGTTCAAAGCATGGATTTAGTAACCCAAGGAAAAAAAACCACATTGTTTCAACCATGATTACATAACCAGATACAATACAACAGAACTTTCAGGAAAACCCTGAAAATACCTGGCTGTTGTTTTGCTTTTCTTTTTTGCGGGGGATGAAACTAGAGCAGGAAAAGAAATATTTTAAAGTTAGTAAACATTTCTAATATGTGTAAAAGTAGAGATCCGTAGCAGGTAGCAACGTGAGTGCCTTCAGCATTAATATTATCTAGTTCCAGGCTGAGAAAGATGGTTATCCACCCAGCAATTCAGACAATCTGTTTCATTTGGGCCCCAGCTGAGGTCGGAGGTGTTTTCTGGCTGGGTGGCAGTTTGGGATATTGTAAGAAAGTTTCAAGGCCACGCTATGTTTCAGTGAATGCCAACTTTGTTATAATTGCACCTGTAGAGCTGCTTTCACCCAGCCACAGTGTAGGTTACTGGATTTGTTTTGTCTTTGCTTTCACCGAATCACTTTTCAAGTAGACTGAATCCATGATCGAGTTCCCGAACAATCACCTGAAGACTACAGCTGGCATGGAGTAGAGCTTCAGCCTTCCTCTCTTCAGGAGTGGTGCAGATTGCTGTTAAATTGACAAATCTGCAGAAGGAGAATCTAAAAGTAACTGTTCCTGAAAATGAGGATTTGAGGATGCTAAGGGACCAAAGATAGACCTATTCTTTCAAGAAAAAAAATGTCAGATGAAGAGCTGCTATGTCTCACTGCAGCCACCAGGTATTTCTGTAGAATAGAAAAGTTACCAAAATTTTCATATTCTTTATCCACCTTGCCCATCAAAAAATTTGGGGATAGAGAAGTATATTAAAATATAATTGATGGCACCTTAATGTTAATCATGTGTTTAAAATCTCTTAAAACTATGATCATTTTACAGAACTGAAACAAATGTCACATCATATCGTTGTATATATAAATTTTCCTTAACTCAGAAAATTTTCCTTAGTCAGTACACAAGAAAGTTCTTTCATGTTTTTAAATTGTGCTTACAAAACTTGATGCTTTAAAAGTGGAAAAAACCCTAAGGCATTCTTTCTAGCGGTAACTGAAGGAAAGTTTCACAACAGGAATGTGTTGTTCAGCCTCCCTTCTGGGCATGAAAATATTATTGAGAAGATTCAGAAGAGTGTGGTCTGTTCTCCCAAAAGTACTAGCCACAGTATTATCCTTTTTTTTTTTTTTTTCCCCATGGGTGCAAATACCTTCCCTCAAAAGAAATCAATGAAAAAAGTTTACAAGTAACCTGATGTCAAATGGAGTCCTTATCTAATGTAAGAAATGTTCATAGTTATAATTAGGTTCCCTTTTCCTTGTTTGGCAGTATAATAGGTCTTTGAAGTCTACATTTCCTTCCTACATTTCTCTCCAAATCACTAAAACACGGGGCTCCACTCCAACCTGGTCTCTCACACCAAGCCATTGCTGATGTGTCACACACTCTCCTCTGGTTGTCAGCATCCACCCAGCTGAGTCCACAGGGCCCTGCACACGGCAGCAGAAGCTGGCTGAGAGCCACCGGCTCTCCATTCTTGCCACAGGTCCTTTAATCTACTCTGGGGATGGGCAAATCACCTACTTTGCTTCAGTTTCCCGACGAGTTAAAAGAGTGTGTGCAGTAGACCATGAAAAGGCAAGTCGGGGGGAGTGAGGTGTTCTGCATCTGCATCCAGCTTTAGTCATTAGCCCTTACCCAACCAGCGATGTATTGAAGTGAAAAGGTCAGTTAAAAAATATTTTCTGGCCCCAGATATAGACTGTATGCCCTGAAAACTATAACATGATGATCTCCTTATTCCATCTCACACTGCAGAGTCTAACAACAAATGTTAGTTTTACAGGGAACTTTTCTTTGTTATCTATCTACTCTTGCTTATTATCTTATTATCTGTTTACCTATCATTTTGTTATTCATGATTATTACACCTTTTATATCAAGTATATTTAAACATCAAAAATGTAGGAGATACTTACTTTCTCAGGTGACAAACACTGACTGCAGAAGTAGCCTTGAAACATTTTTTTGAAATCTCTTCCCACTTTTTCTGTATATAGGAGGATATAAAGATATGTATATTATTTCAAGTTACTTTTATTCACACAACCGTGGGAAGACAGAAACATACACCTTTGTCTTCACTTGGCCCTCATATACTTTGTACTTTCATATATCTAAAAGTTGCAAATGTGTACAGCTTCTTATTAACAAGTAAATAGATTTTATAAATACCTGTATATTTCAGTATACTTCGTTTTCATATTACAAAAAGATATTGTATGATATGATATTAAAAAGAAAACTTACATAAAATGGAATTATCCTCCATTTCCATATTTCTTGTACTACAGAATTATTCTTTCCGTAGGTCCTAGGCTTTGACAGTAATCTAAGCATGTTTTAATTTTTAATTCTTGAGGAATTAGACAAACTACAAACAGAAAGTTAAAAAATATTTTTCCAGTTATTTTCTACTTGTTTGTGACAAATTAAACCAAAACAGAGCAACTTTAATGAATTCCTAGAACATGTTACTCATGGTTGTTTTGAATCATAGAAGGGTGTTTGCCTTAGAATATATTCTTATTAAGTTCTTATCTTATTACACCCCAGTGTTAAAGGAACACTACATAATTTCACGTAGCTGGAAGAATAAGATCTAACTATTTCTTTAGAGTTAAGAGTGTCAGTGCTTTGTCAGACCAAACCCACCATATTTAACACTGAAATGGGTTTACCAAGACTACCCAAACAGATCTTAGTAATAACCAAAAATTTTTTGTTTGGCAAAAAGGAAATTAAAAAATTTTTAAGAAGAATATGAATTTCTACTGAAAGTATGTCACAAAGCATAGATTAATGTGGGGAGTGACCTTTACTCTGTTATTAGAGCATGCAGGTTTTAATTAGGAAATATTTCTAATATTTAATTCTAATATTTATTTCTAATATTTAATTGGAAAATGTTTTAATTAGAAAACTTTTCTCATGGACTTGCAGCAAAGATTTTGTCTCAGGTTACTCTGAATTAAAAAGTTATTGACTTTCAGCCTACAATTTCTAAGCCATAAGTTTGGGATGAGTGCCCTTCCTAGTAGGAAGCGGAGCTTTCTCCACCTTCCATGCTTTTCTTGGATTCATTCTGTGTTGATACCAAAAGAGACTAATTTTCTGTTTGTGACAAGGAAATGTTCCCAATACATATCTATCCAGCAATCTGTAACACCCAGGCCTCAGTGAGAAAAGGATCACCAAAAGGCAAACTTCCAAAGAAACCTTTCTATATATACTATGACAAGATAAATACTGTGATACATAAAAACTGGTTTTAAATTTTTTTTGAAAATACTGTATATTTTATTTTTAATATTATTATTTTATTCTTCATTAAGAAACTACTTTAATCTTTTTTCTTCTTCTACAGTGATAGACAGAGAGCTGTATGAGGAAGGCAAAGGAGATCACTAAGTGATTCCATAGGTCAGTCTAAAGTATATGTGAGGCTTTGTAAAGAATTTGGAAATATTTTCAGATAAACTCATTTAAAATCAGAAAATAGAGGACAAGTATAAAATATTTTAGCATATCAGGACATAAAATCTTCAGCAAAATCTTGCTTTCTTTGGAGGTCAGTTGTTCAAGCCTAAAAAATTTCAGTTAAAATGTACTGGATGGCACTTCAAATCCCTAAACTCAGTGCAGACATATCTGGTGACACGAATGCCAGTCTCACTGGCAATGAATAAGATAAAGGAAAGTTTGCAATTCATTGAAACTGCTGAAAAACATTTTTGAATGTAAACCACATTAAAAATAAAATAAAAAAACCCTAAACAAAATGAAAAACAAACAAAACACAAAAAAACAAACCAACAAAAAAACCTCAAACCAAAACAAACCAATAACATTTTTACAGAACAGAAACCCACTTTCAAGCTCCAGTTCTAGCTTATTTGTTGTTGAGATGGTTTCAGAAGTCAAGAAAATATTTCAGTAAAAGACCATCAACCCCCTTACACAATGCAAGATTCTGACTGTGCTATAGTTCAAGTGACTTAGCAGAACCAATTAAAAGTCTTGCAGAAGACAGAGTGGAAGCTGCATGTCTTGTCTTTCTCTCCTGATGTGATTTCTAGCCGGTCACTGCTAGCTCTCAGCTAAGAACTTAAATCTGATATTAAGAAAACCTATTTTACACAGCCATTTTTTGCAAGAAATTGGTATTTAGCAGTCATAAATAGAAACAAAGTAATATTGTGGCTTGACATTCTTTGGTTGTAACCATGATGCGGTAGGAAGTGGGTGACAAGTTTCCTTGGTAACAAATAGAGGATAAATGAAACACTCTGAATCACCAATGAATCATTAGCAGAGTTCTGCTTCCGATTTTTGGCTTTTATTACCAGATGCTAAAATTACAACCATTTTAAGGTGATGTGTAAAGGTGAACACTTCACAGCATTCACAAGTGTGTGGTAAGGGTTAGATTGCTATTAGAATTCCTAACACCATGAAAACAGGAAGCTTTAATAACTAGCATTTATTGGGGTTTTTTGGCTAATATCAGTTAGAGCTAGAGGATGTCCAGGTTCTTTATAGAATAACAGAGAGGATGAGGATAGAAGGATGAACTCTTCGTGGCTAGCAGCAGAACCACTAAGTTCAGCAGAGTTCAGAGAGGTCTGTATTTCTCTCACAAAGTTTACAAGAACTCATGTTCTTTAATCACACACTGTACTACATATTGAGCTGGAAGATGAACTACAGTAGATTTTACTATGTATTAATATAAACATTTTGATAGTTAACAAAAATAAAGTGATAACCTATGCTAATCTGAGAAATTGGGAGTTCCTTCCAACTTAAGACATGATGCCACAAATGAAAATAAAAAATAATAGGCTCTTAAAGGGAACGATAAGATTATCTACTTAGAGTATGTGTGTGTATGTGTGAGTGTGTAGGTGTACATACATGGGTTATCATCACTAGTAATGCTGAAATTATTTTAAACAGAAGTTACAAAAGGTATACCAGAGATCAGATTGTCAGTTCTGAATTTATTTAATTGCATAAATGAAAATATATACTATAAAGATACACATAGAGTTTATTCTGCATTGATTCTGAATTCCTGTGGGATTTCAGTCAGTAGGACATGAACCAACTGAAGGTCTAGGCTTTGGTGCCTTGTCACATCAGATGGAACTGGACAGACACCACATCTACCATGTCAGAAACTTTACCCTCCACTTGTTTTGTCTGTTCAGTACTATGTGACAAACTGTCCTCGTTGAGCAGGCAGCACCAGAAGGAGCCTGAGAAAGTTTCAATACAGCAAGGCAAGAAATCTATCCGGCAGGTTTGCCATCTGAACGTTTCTGGATGTGAATATTTACAGCAATGTTTGGATATTTATTGGCCATTTTATTGGCTGTAGTTTTGTTTTCTGTTATTGATTGCATTGAATTAGTAATAGTCTAATAATATAATCTACCTCTGTCTCTATGATGGTTGAGTTACAATAAGCAAATGATGCTGAAGGAAAAAAGCATTAGGATTATCTAGGACTATGACAAAGTGACAGTGTAATGGCTATGATGAAAATGAAGTGTGCCTTTATAGACTTACAACATTATATGCTTTGTATTAATGCTTTCATTTCTACCAAGATAAATTTCCTCAGAATTAAAGCACTGTGCTGCATGTTGGTCTGATTTATCTTTTCTTTATCATCTAAGCTCTAATAAATGCTTTGTGAAATGTTTATCTCAGTTAAAAGAAAATTAACAAATTTGAAACTGGTTCTGACTGACATCCCAGGACAGAATAAAGAGTAGGTTTAAATCAGTGTGTAGGGTGTATTATCTTGGGAACAAGGCCAGTATTATCTTGGGAACAACACCATCACTACTTTTCTTGATTTTTGAGTTTTCTGGCATACGTTTTAAATTATAGAAACACATTCAACTTTGAAAGATCTTGTTGGGTTATTTTCTAAGTGGAATTAAGTCATAAAAGTTTGCTTCCAGCGAAAGCTTGCAAAGCAAGGACACAATGTTCTTAACTATTACTCTCTTTCTGTCTCATGAAATTATACATACACCCTGCTAACTGGAAAAACAATGTTTTTGGGAAAATCAAGGGGTTTGGATGTCTTTACTGGAGCTAAGTAGCTTCTTCTTCTATACCTGTTGCAGTGGTCAATAAATCTCTCTGCAGAGGTGAAAATTGAAATACAAATCTTCCATAAATTTTTCCCACCTATAATGTATACTTGAATGTTGAGGTTGTAGAGTTAAAAGCACAATGTAATCCACATCATGCAAGTTCGTGGTGTTGTCAGTAGCAACTAGAAATTCTTAACATGAGAATGAGTGGCCCGATTAGACCCAGACTGACTCTAACTTTGACTTGATACAAGGGTCTTGTCCACTTTGATTTTTGTGTTATCAAACTTCAGAATAAAGCCTCCTTTACCACGCGGAAAACTGAAGCCCATAATTATTGGTAAAGGGCCAGACAACTCTGTGCTTGGTGGAAGTGCAGTAGTGTTGACTCAAAGGTTGATCAAGAAAGACTATGGTTGGTTGACAATATTTTCATTGATGTCTCACATATATCACCAGTTCCTCAGCATACCTTTATGAACGTCGTCGGCTATTCAGAGATTACTTCAATGCAGCTTCACCAGGTGGTTTTCATGGACTGCTGAGTTTACTTCTATCAAACGCAGATAATCTCTCCATGTGCTACAGTTACCTACTAAACCTTCCCAGAGCAGAACCCTGGTAAAAAAATTAATGCTTGTGTATGTTACAACCTCTGTTTCTATTTCTATCAGTAACAGTATCCCAAATGATCCAAAGTATTTAAAGTCTAAGAACTGTTTCACATTGACTGAGTCATATTAGAAGATAGATTTAGGCTTGTCAAGGGCAAACTTGGTTAGTTGTCTCATGAAGAGATTGATTTTTTCTAGCATTTTTTCAGTCCCTTATACCCTCAGTAGAAGAGCCAGATATCTGTCTAAAATTAACAGGAGAAGATTTTATAAATTGCCTGTGCATCCAAAGAGATAGAAAACATCTGTGGTAAACAGACTGTGTTTTACTGTCCTGGTCTCCAAATACTCCCTCTTTCTATTGACTGCACAGGAAATGAAGGACCTATGTTAGTGGAGCACCCTTCACTACAGGTAAGTTTACCACAAGTAAATAAAACTGTAACAAGGAAGAACTAAAATGAGACTGAGTTAGGAGAGTGATTCCCCATAAAGATATTTACTGAAACTGCACACAGTTGGTGGGGGTGATTGGCATGATCTATCTCACCATGCTAATAGCCCACCTGAACAAAGCTGGGGGGCCCATGGTTGCCCTAATCCATAACAAAGTAAACTTTCGCTGACTTCAATGGTGAGAAAAATTCTGCAGTTTTGATGAACAAACCCAAACATGAGTATTCAACATCTACATGTTTTCAAATATAGTAAGTGCTTATACTGACATTTAAATTTCATGAGTACAAAGTTTCTGCTTTCACAGGCTGATCTGACCCCTCTCTAAACCAGACATAGCCTCTTCTTTGTGATGTTGTGCAATAATTTTTCTCAATTTTTTGGCTTCAACTTCCTTAGTTAAGGAGCAAAATGAAAAGTATACCTTGGGAGTTTAGGAAGTTATTAAGAAGAGAAACTTATTCAGGGAAGGAACTTGTTGTTTCTCATAGATGCCAAACTCAGACAGAAGACATTTCTTTTTTGTCTCCCCCTGCCCCCCAGCTACAACATACACAGTTGCTATTTGACTCATTATATTCCTTTACAGGAATCATAACTGAGTATTGTCCTTTCGTTAATCTTGAAACAAAGTCCTGTTTCTCAATACACAGTCTTTTTCAGACCGATGTTTTTCTTTCACAGTTGCAACCTCTACAGTTTCACCTGGCCAGCTCCACCTCAGTATTTCATCAGTGTCACAGGTGGAGATCTTTTGCTATGACTTCAAGGTTATTATTCTTTCTCTTGGCAAATGAGAGATAACAGATAAGCTATTATTGACCCTGAGGGGAAATTATTTTCTCTTGTACTAGCAATCAGTCATCAGCATGTTATGATGGATGTGATCATCTCACTGCATGAATTTTCAGGTAACTGTATACAGGGTGTGAACTTGTTTGCTGTGCACTGGCTTTTTCTTATTGAAGATTTGTATTCAGAGAGTCCTTCTGGGTTAAAACATACTGTGACCTATACTTCGGTGATAGAGAAACTCACCCATGGAAGAGTTTCTTTCTTCTTTTTTCTACTTTCCTCTCAGATTGACATGCAAACTTTTAAACTAAGATCCTTCATCTGAAACCATGGAGTTATATACTTCACAGGCTGATCCTTAAATGCTCATTTTGAATCTGTTTTAATTTGTTCATTTATGACCAGATGAGAGTCAGACACACAGTGTAATTACACCAGCATGTCAAAGTAATGCAGAGCAAAGAGAGAAAAGCAGCAGAGGCAACACAGGTATTTGTAGGAGAGCCATTAGCCTGTGACATGCATAAAGGAAAGGAACCTGGTGAAATTCTGTCAATGTTATACCTGCAAGCATTTACTCTCATCTTTTAAATGCTTGATGATAGATTTTGGGGGCAAAGGCTGTTCCAGATCACTCATGTAATAAAACAAAGCAGGGGTCATCTGCCTTATCTTCATTTTTTTACTTTCACTGAAGAAAGAATGAAGAAAATATGTTCAGCCAGCACTTGTTGAGGTATGCTTATGTTTTGCAAAGTTGTGATGTCTAACACAACTGTATTTTGCATACCTACCATGAGATTTATAGCTAATAAGTATTAGTTTTCTGCAGTAAATATAGCCCTTGAACAACACTTACCATAGTACACCAAGGAGCCTTTGAATAACTGTAGGGCATACTGGCAGCAGTGGGATGTTAGGGTGAAAGAAGAGAGGCTGGAGAAGGAGATTTGGCTGGAAGGAGAGATGTGGTAGGACATGGAGGGGATCCCCAAGAAGTCACTTACTGATTATACTGTGCAGATGTTATGTTGCCTGGAATATAAAAATTAAAAGAAATTACAGAAGAAAAAAAATAAAGGAGAGTGCATGGCATTTCCTTCAGTGATGTGAACCAGAATAAGCAGAGTTACTTAGGGAATGCTTTAATCTATGAACAGGTCTAATGTGAATGCATTGATTGTCTCTGGAATGAAAGAGTACAAAGGCAAAAAAAGTTGGGCAGCAGCTGGTCCCAGCCAATGCCTTCACTCAGCTGTCAGTGGGAACATCCTGGGCTTTGCCAGGAGCTTCACTGAAAGTCTCCTATTGGTTTGCATAGTAAAATGGTAAACTTTATTTCTGCTACTTTTCTCTTCACCTCTCTCTTGAGTTATACCTCAGGTTCCCTTCTGAGATATGAAAGAAAACAGAGGAACTGGAAAGATCTTTCTTGTCTAAGGGTTTTGTGGATTTGTTGGGGTGGATGATTAAGTTAAAATAATGTCACCAGTTATGGAGAGACTGCCATTACTAACAATTTAGAAATATCTGGAAATAATGTATTCATTTTTTTTTTTTTTAAATTTCCCTCTGAGCCACTGTGTACTTGTGTCCCTTGGATACATTTGTAAAGCTTGTCGTCTTTTGATATTAGTTCCCATTCTTTATATTTCCCCTTCAGGGAATGAAAACTTCTCTTCAAATGAAGAGTCAGTCTTAAACCAACAGAAACAAAAAGCAGGTGGACTACCTATTTTAGATAAAAGGCATTATTCTTGAAAGTAATTTGGATTGTCTGTTTCTGTTGCTCATGTCAGGACCCATTTAATTCACCTGCAAGAGTAAACTGACTTCAGTTATTTTCACACTTTGAGCTGAAATTCTATTAAAATACAAAAGCACAGATGTACCCACCACAACTTGCACCTCAAACGTTGTAATAAGCTCAACAAATCATTGTGTGGATTTGTTCAGCTTTCAAAAAGTAAATTTTTTTCTCTTTAAGAAGAAATGTTCCAAATTTACTTCTTAAATTAGAAAGAATATAATTACAAAATAGCTAATGAAAATAAAATACACACATAAAGCTTCCTCTTAAGGATGAGGATTGAATACTTTTATTCTGGAAGGTTACAAATACTTGGTTGTAATTTCTTGGTTCTTATTACCAAGCAAAATAATAATAAAAATTAAATCGATTTTTTTTTTTTGTCTTCAGTGGAAACATTCTCCTTTAATCTAAAATACAGACTGTTACTTTCTCATTGCAATACCTAAAATATATTACCTGAAAAATGACTTGTTCCAGATAATAATTGTGTCACTGAGAAAAACGTTTTTGTGATGTTTTCTTTAGTTGAGTGTGCGTAGAACTTCCTCTGTGCGTGGATCTCTTGCTACTCATAATTCTGGAGACTCTGAAGACAAATTGTTTGCCTTTCATCTTTCTGCTAGAAGGGGCAAAAAATAATTACTAGAGGGAAAAAAAGGCTTAGTAAGAGTTTTTGTGTAATAGAGTTGGAATGTGAGACAAAGATAACTATTTCAGGAAGAAAGACTTTTTAAAAAGCAGAACAGAAAAGGAAGAAGAGAAGATAACTAGGGACTTCTTTTACATTTACCTTTAAACTTTCAACCTTACTTTATAAAAGTCTTTATGTTTTATTAATAAAAAGTACTATTTATTAAATGTTCATTTATTAAATGTACTAATGTTACTATTAAGCTTCTGGTAGATGAACAAGTCTCAGGAAAGAATTGTAATTTTCCTGTAGAAGAGGGAAGGGAACAGATTAATCTGTTTTTCTTTCCTTTGAAGTAAATTAGAGAAGTGTGAAATTATGGCATAGGATCAGGTTCCTCTTCCTCAATGCAAGAAGGACTAGCCTTCTTATCAGATGTGATTAGAAAAGGAATTTCATAAAGAAGTAGAGCAGAGTCTGTCTGAATGATACCCAAAAGAAGATCCGGGAACTTTAGTTTTACTCCATCCATTTCACGGACTGCCAGACCTGCCACACTACCACAGGAGGAGTTTAATGCTTTCTTTGCCTCTGTCTTCAACACACATGACAGAATAAGGGGGTTTCAGTGCCCTGAGCTGGAGGATGATGACTGCAAGAATGATTAACACCAAGTTTCCCCTGAAATCATGCAGGATCTGCTGCTCCAGCTGGATCCCTACAAATCTATGGGTCCTGATAGGATTCATCCCAGAATCCTCAAAAAGCTGGCTGATGTCATTACAAAACCTCTCTCAATGACTTTTGAGAGGTCTTGGGAATCCAGAGAGGTCCCAGATAACTGGAAGCTGGTGAATATTGTCCCAATTTTCAAGAAGGGCAAGAAGCAGGATCTCAGAAACCACAGGCCTGTCAGTCTCACTTCAGTGAGACTTCAGCAAGTTTGCAGATGACACAAAACTGGGAGGAGCTGATGACTCTCTCAGAGGCAGGGAAGCCCTGCAGAGAGACCTCATCAAATTACAGGACTGGGCAATCACCAACCAGATAAGTGCCAGATTCTGCACCTGGGATGGGCCAACCCTTGAAGTATGTACAGACTGAGGAATGAGATGCTGGAAAGAAGTCCCATGGAAAGGGAGCTGGTTGATGGCAAGCTGAATCAGAGTTAGCAGTGCCCTGGCAGCCAGGAGGGCCAACCGTGTCCTGGGGGGCATCAGGCAAAACATCACCAGCTGGTCGAGGGAGAGGATTGCTCCGCTCTGCTCTGCACTGGTGTGGCCTCACCTTGAATACTGTGTGCAGTTTTGGGCCCTGCAGTATAAGGAAGATATTCAGCTATTAGAGAGTGTCCAAAAGAGCGCAACAAAGACGGTGAAGGGTCTTGAGGGGAAGCCATATGAGAAGTGGCTGAGGGCACTTGGTCTGTTCAGCCTGGAGAAGAGAAGACTGAGGGGAGACCTCATTGCGGTTACAACTTCCTCATGAGGGGCAGACGCTGATCTCTTCTCTGTGGTGACCAGTGACAGGACCAAAGGGAATGGCCTGAAGTTGTGTTAGCGGAGGTTTAGGTTGGATATTAGAAAAAGGTTCTTCATCCAGAGGGTGGTTGGGCATTAGAACAGGCTTCCCAGGGAAGTGGTCACAGCATCAAGCCGGTCAGAGTTCAAGAAGAGTTTGGGTGATACTCTCAGGCACACAGTGTGAGTCTTAGGAATGGTCTTGTGTAGGGTTAAGGGTTGGACTTGGTGATCCTTATGGGTCCCTTCCAGCTCAGCACATTCTGTGATTCTATTCTGTGATTCACAAATTCTCTTTCTTCAAACACCATGTCCTGAAGTTCCTTTAATGTTGTTCCCAGAAAGTGACTCATGATTCTTTATTAATTATGAAATATGTTAACTTAATGACGGCACTAAAAATGTGTTTTTCTCTTCTCACCATAGCTTGAAGGAAATATCATTGCCAAGGCATTATCTCTAACACTGATCTCGTACTAGTAGTGTACATGTAACTTTTTCATGATTGATTCTTTAAAACCTAGCCAAATTTTTTTTTTACCATGTTAATGTAGACCTGATTTCATTTCTATTATTGCATGCATAATTGTAGACATTTAAGGTTAAACATTAATTTAATTAAAAATGAGGACAAAAGCTCTCTGACTGTAGGGGGGGCAGAATTTTGCTCTGTCCATGCATAAGTTTATTGCTGATATGGCACATTGCCTTTTTCTTATTACTGTTTTTTGCACTGTAATAATCAGAATAATAGTATGTTGAAAGTAACGTGCTTTTGTGAATTTTGATGGATAGGTTACCTCAGTGTCAGGAAGTAAATAGGAATATTCCAGTGTTAGCTTCAGATACATTCTCCTGGTATCATCAAGGGCATGTTTGGAGAAAAACCCTTTGTTTTTACAGAGATGGTAAGTGGAGCAGTTCATATTCTTAGTTATGTTGTGCCCTCTGGCAAGCCTGCCAGGAGAGTGCTGTGCTTGTTTTGAGAAGAGAAACCTCCTCCACATTCCAGCTTGAGCATATCTATTGTTTTCAGACATAAACAGATGCCTTCCTTACCTAAGGGAAGCTCTCAAAAATATGGAACTAAAACAGAAGAAACTGTTGTGAAGCCACAACAGTATTTGACCTGTCTGTATGCATTACTAATCTCAATCTCAGCTGAAGGCGGAGGTCTGTTGCATTCAGTTTTATTTATTTGCTTCGTTTCTGCCCTGCAGTATGGAAGAACAATAAAGGGTGTTAGTATTAATTTTTTTATTATTATTTCAATTAGAACTTTTTTGAATACATACATGCTTACTATGTCGTTTGCAGTTTTTAAATGCAGGATAATTCAGAATTGCTCAGCAAGATCGGGGAAAAGGCGGATAAACATATTCTTCCTTGTGCCAAACTGCCCTTTATTTCACAGGCCAAAACACCAAAATTTTTGATGAGATCAAGTTATAGAACCTGAGTAGAGCTTTTTCTAATAATTCTGATGGAGTGGATGGACTTTGTTTTCATGCATCTTGGCTGCCTGCTAACAAAATGCATATATTTTGGATTCTTTTACTTCTACGTGTCACTTTCTGTACAGGTTTATCTGCCTTTTCTAGCCTTAAATAAATGTCTGTAGGACATTCAGACATGTTAGAGTTTACCTGTCTGGGGGTGGTGGTAAAATGATAGCCCCCAAGTACGACAGATTTGCAACTCCTTCATGAAGACAAGGCACACCAAGCTTACATAGCTATTTAACGTAGCTTCTTCTCCCCTGAGTGTTTCATCTCTCTTTTCTCCCCGTCATCCATCTGTGCTACAGTTACAACACAGACTTTATGATGAAATTAAAACTATGCTAATATTGAGTAACTACTACTAGTATTGAGAAAAAATACTGTGTATTCAAGGACTGTAGGATAAACATACCAGTGAAGGGGAAGAAAAGGAAGTGATGAACACAGTCCAAGTACAAAGCAGGTGGAGAACTGTTGGAGTGAGGTACAGTTCCCCCAGCAGAGCACTGTGCTGGAGCCAGCTCTACATCTGCTGGGAAAGCCACACATCACAGCACAGCAATGCCCAATCCAGCATCTCTCCAGCAAAGCATGCTGAGTTGATACTGGTGCTGCCTTCACTATCTGTGTCACAGTGCAGAGCAGACACAGCTGACCTGGGTTAGAGACCTCCCTGCAAGGTTATATTCATTTGCAGAACTAGCAGCTTGGATATAACAAACTTCATGTAAAAGCAAAGATGCCCAGGAACTAAGGTTTTTAATTATTATTTTTTAGTCCACAGACACCATAAGGTCAGGACAGAAGCTGGTTGTGACTCCTGAGTCCTGGAGTGAGGAAATGTTAGGGCTACAAGAAGAAGAGAAAGATAATCTAAAACATAGTATGGCAAAAGACTGATGGAAAGATGCAAGAAAAGGAAATCAACTTTATTTTTAATTTTTTTTAAATTTAAGTGTAAATAGCATCTCACATCCACAAAGCTCAGTGAGACATAGTTTTAAATATGAGAATAAATATAAATTAATGATACCCAGACAAAGAAGAATTTAATCACTCTCATTCATAAGTAAACTATTTTGTTCATAAAGAACACAGGATTTCCAGTAGAAATTCTTAAGAATTACAGTTATCACAATAGACTGCTATCTTTGATTTTGTTATTTCTGAATGTGCATCATATTCAGACTGTGGTTTCCACACTACTGCAGTGTGATTCATATCTTGTGGTGAAAATGACTGACTTTTTGTTTCCGAAATTTCTGCTGTGAGAAAACATCTGCTGAAATGTAGATAGATTGTAGTCTGTGAATGACATATATATTCTTTATAAACTCCTCTAGTAAGAACAGACTCATCACAAGACAAATGACAACACTATTCACACAGTTGTACTCGAGCTGGCACATTACCCACTAATTGTGTGATCAAATATTTTTTCTATTTAGAAAGAAAAGTTTTGTGTGATATTTACATGTGTATGATTTGCATGATTTCCAGGGTTTAGATGCATACATTTGTCTTATTGCAGGGCAGACTATAATTTAAAATGTTATAATCTAAATAAGTATTAAATAAAATAATTTCTACTGCACAGACTAAAGCCTCCCTACAATACCAAGAAACACTTGTTCAGTCAATGTTTAAGTCCTAAGAGCAGAGAGATTTTCTTATTCAGTTACAGTTTATTAGGCTTTAATGGGAATTGTCTGTCATGTTACAACATAAATACTCATTGACAGGAGCTCCCTTTTGCTGGTGGCATCTCTCAAAATTTCTAGACCAGTACTTTTGCATCCCTATGCTTCTCCACCCCCTTTCACAACTGAGGACAACTCCCAGGAGTAGAAGACTTCCAACCTTTCTGTTATGTGTTCAATGGTGCCTATTACATAGCCACACTACCTTCCTCAATACTTGATGGCTAAGGCAATTCTCTTGGATAAGAAATGAAAACCTTTTT